ACAGTTTAATTCTTGTGTCACAAGGATGTATTTCAACAAAGAATTATCTAATCTGAAAGATCGACTCCTTAGCACGGTGCAAGATCAAAATTACTCGGATGTTACAAGGGATCGAATAAATTTCTTTCTATGGGACTTAAAATTCCTCGATTGTTTTCTCCATTTGAAAAGGTTGCCTTTTGCAAGTGAATGCGGTATGCTAAAAGTCTCACAGAAAATCATAGAAATTTGGAAGTTTCAGTGTAAACCCTATGATTGTCCAGATCTATTTCCGTACAAGACTCTGTATGTTTACGATTCATTTGGCTACTGGAAGGATGTAATTTGGAAGACTAAGCAAGAATTCAGAGCTGAATACTCTTTTCCAAATACATCACTTGCAGCCAACAAGGTGGATGATGATGTAGCCCCAAATTTGTGATGGAAGTCATCGATGTTTTTGTGGAGAACCTCAATGTTCTAGTGAAGATCAATGATCCAATTTCGTGGCTTTTTGTTCCAGAACACAAGGAACAAATAGAACAAGTGTTAAAGGAGTTGAAGTTATTGAGATTTTTTGTCTGCTTTGTTTCAAACAAATGTATAGAGCCTCAATACCGACATACTACTTTTTATATTCATGCTTTAATTGAGGCTAGCCACATTGCAATGGTTGTCTGGTTGCATTTGCCAGTCGTCTATGGAAATCAAGACGTGGCTCCAAGTGAAGTCAGTCGTTTGCTCTCTGATTTCATGGAATTGAAGATTAAGTCCATTCAGCCAGTCATCAGCCGCAACAATATTTATATTGATGTCCTGCAAGCTTTGAAGTCAACCATACCACAAGCACAAAAGAAGCATGCAGCTGAGAGTAGCACTGTGGAGATTCCAACACACAGTCTGACGGTTGGTTTGAGTGATCAAATGGCTAACCTTCAGGAGATGCTCTGCCTTCTAAGAGATAATCTCATTCATCTGCCAATACTAGATCTGGAATTTCATCTTCAAGATATGGATTCTGTTATTATTGATGCTGGACTTCTTATTTACTCATTATATGATATCAAGAGGGAGAAGGAAGACACAGTATTGGATGATATGAACCGAGCACTTGGTTTTGATCTTCCAAGAAACATTGAGCCTATCAAGGCGATGGTCTACCTCATCATGCAAAAGGCATTTCAATGTAACTTGCCAAGGATTCATGGACTAGGCTATGTCGATTTTCTATTGAAAAACCTGAAGGATTTCCAAGGCCGTTATTCAGATTCACTCGCTTTCCTCAAGAATCAAATTCAAGTAATTCAAACGGAATTTGAGAGCTTGCAACCTTTCCTGAAGGTTGTCGTAGAAGAGCCACACAATAAGTTCAAGAGACTGAATGAAGATTGTGCTATACAGATAATTAGGAAAGCACATGAGGTGGAATATGTAGTTGATGCTTGTATAAACAAAGGCATTCCTCATTGGTGCCTCGAGCGTTGGCTCCAGGATATCATAGAGGAGATTACTTGTATCAAAGCAAAGATTCAGGAAAATAACACTGTTGACGATACAATGAAGACTGTCATTGCTCGTACATCATCACAACTGGCAAGGACTCCGAGGATGAATGAAGAAATTGTTGGGTTTGAGGATGTCATAGAAAATTTAAGAAAAAAACTACTGAATGGAACCAAAGGGCAAGATGTCATTTCAATTCATGGCATGCCAGGTTTAGGTAAGACGACTTTAGCCAACAGACTCTATTCTGACAGGTCAGTTGTTTCTCAATTTGATATTTGTGCACAATGTTGTGTGTCTCAAGTATATTCGTATAAGGACTTGTTATTGTCCTTGATACGTGATGCTATTGGTGAGGATTCTGATCAGCATAGAGAACTTCATGACAATGAATTAGCTGATAAGCTTCGCAAAACCTTATTGCGCAGAAGGTACCTTATCCTTGTTGATGATGTGTGGGAAAATAGTGTTTGGGATGATTTAAGAGGTTGTTTTCCAGATGCCAATAACAGAAGCAGAATCATTCTAACGACAAGACATCATGAAGTTGCCAAATTTGCTAGTGTTCATAGTGATCCCCTTCATCTTCGTATGTTTGACGAAGATGAAAGTTGGAAGTTGCTTGAAAAGAAAGTGTTTGGTGAACAAAGCTGCTCCCCTCTCCTAAGAGATGTTGGGCTAAGAATAGCAAAAATGTGTGGACAACTCCCTCTTTCAATTGTTTTGGTGGCTGGTATTCTGTCAGAGATGAAAAAGGAAGTAGAATGTTGGGAGCAAGTGGCCAACAATTTGGGTACCCACATTCACAATGACTCAAGAGCCATTGTAGACCAAAGTTATCATGTTTTACCCTGTCATCTTAAGTCTTGCTTCCTTTATTTTGGAGCATTTTTAGAGGATAGAGTGATTGATATTTCAAGGTTAATAAGGTTATGGATATCAGAATCATTTATAAAAAGTTGTGAAGGCAGGAGGTTGGAGGATATAGCAGAAGGTTACTTGGAGAATCTTATTGAAAGAAATCTAGTAATGGTTACTCAAAGGGCCGATTCAGATGGTAAGGTCACAGCATGTCGCCTTCATGATGTACTACTCGACTTCTGCAAGGAAAGAGCAGCTGAGGAGAATTTTCTACTATGGATAAAACGGTAATATGATAAGTAATGGTACTTTCAATCAATCAAGTATTTCAAGTTATATTTGAAAATTAATGATATGATTTTGCTAATTGATATATTCACAGAGATCAGATTACCAAAGCTGTTTACTCTCACAAGCAGCATGCTCACTTGGCGTTCACTGAAATGGATAATCTTTTAGAATGGAGTACGTCTGGCTCACTTGTTGGCTCTGTACTTTTTAAGAATTATGACCAATACTTTGCCGATCGTCCCTTTTTCTCTCATGCTTTTGAAATTTCACACATTTTACCACATTTCAAGTTTCTAAAAGTACTGGATTTGGAACACCAGGTTGTTATTGATTTTATTCCGACTGAGCTCCCTTACTTGAGGTATTTCTCTGCGCTCATTGATCAGAATTCAATTCCTTCAAGCATATCCAATCTTTGGAACCTTGAAACTCTTATATTAAAGCGTAGATCAGCTGCCAGATATAACAGGGTATTACTACCTAGTACAGTTTGGGATATGGTTAAATTGAGATATCTGTATATTCCTTACTTCAGCCCTGAAATAAAAAGCATTACTCGAGAACTCTCCAAAACTTGATGATTTGGAAACCCTTTCCAATTCATATTTCACTCGTGTTGAGGATGCAGAATTGATGCTGAGAAAAACACCTAATCTTCGAAACCTGACATGTAAAATCGAGTGCTTGAAATACCCCCATCAGTACCATGCATTGAATTTTCCAATACGGCTTGAAATACTAAAGCTTTATGGATCAAAAATCGTCAAAACCATCCCCTTTTACATCTCTGCACCAAATCTCAAATACCTGATACTCTGTGGCTTTTACCTGGATTCTCAGTACTTATCAGAAACTGCTGATCATCTGAAGAACCTTGAGGTACTCAGACTGTCCTTCGTTATATTTGGTGGTCATATGAAATGGAAAGTGAGCAATGGCAAGTTCCCTCAACTCAAAATCTTGAAACTAGAATATTTGCCCATGATGAAATGGATTGTAGCTGATGATGCCTTTCCTAACCTTGAACAATTGGTTTTGCGTCGATGTCATGATCTTATGGAGATCCCTTCTTGTTTCATGAACATCCTTTCTCTGCAGTACATCGAGGTAGAAAACTGCAATGAGTCGGTTGTCAAGTCAGCCATGAATATACAAGAAACACAAGTCGAAGATAATCAAAATACTAATTTCAAGCTCGTTCTCATCGAGGTACACTACTGAAAAAAGCTTTATTCTGCATGATTTTGATGACTCAGAAATAATGGCCTAAATTGTATGAACTGTTTTCTCTGTTATCTTTACCTGGTGGCCTCGTTTTACATTTGGGTTTTTCTCTTGGTTTTCTTGCAGAAAGAGACATACCCAAGGCATTTAAACAATTACTTTTACTTCCAGGTACTACTTATTATTTTTTCTTTCTTTCCTTTTTTTGAGTACACCGAATAGATAGATTCATCTTTTTTCTCCTGTCGATATAAAAGGGATAGAATCAATTTCAACTGATATGAAAGAGAAGAAACTTACTGTGACCAGAGAATGTGGATGCTGATGAAGTTCAATTAGTTGTGGAGAAACTGAGAAAGCGTGGCATGCTCTAACAAAATGCTGAACTCTGGTGAACTCAACCGTGATGGATTTCCAAATAATGACAGGGTTGTAGTCCCAACTTGTCAACACAAATGTGCTATACTCATTTTTCTTACTGTAATACCATTTCATGACACACACACAAACATTAACTGTAGTAAAGTTTTGATGGATCAGCTGATATGTTAGTTCAACCCATTGTAATCCCGTTCAAATTCAACTCAAAAAATGCCCATTGAGTTATTCTTTAACAGGGTATCCAGAGTTTGTAGCTGGAGCAATTTGGAATATCGCATGTAATTTCTTTATGAGTTATTTCGTTTAATAAAGATTCTGTAAAACGTCCAACGGCTGTTGCATTCATTGTAAACTAAATACATCTCACAATGTAACTGTTGAACAAATTTTTCATTCAAGTCCTTAAGGTTTGATGTAAGTCATTAGATTTTACGGATCCTGAAGTGAATGGTTTCAGCCTTTCCTATTTTCTTATGAGTTCACCTAAATGTTGTGATGCCACTCTGCTACATGTTAGAGAAATGAGAATATTAGCACCCGAGAGTATGCCTAGTGGTCAATCAAAGAAGCAGGTGAAAACAACAAAAGCGAAAAATACTAAGAGATCTCTTCCCATCTATCTAAGTACCACTAAACAGAGATACCTGATACCTCTTTGGTTGGAAGAAGCAGATACTCAGTCAAATGGTAGAGGTGAGCTCGACACCATCAATAACAGCCCAAAAAAAGAACAATGAGAAAGTTACAAATCACAATACATGTCCATATGCTTTGGAACTAAAGAATTCAAAGCACACAATGTATTTCAGTAATCTTTATCTCTGTCTGCAGTTGAATATACCAGATATCAGATCTGAGACAATGTTTAAAAAGGAAACTATTATTCGACCCTATTCCTTTCTCAAACCTCGAAACCAACACCAGTTATACAACAATATATGCAGAACCCTTTAACTATATACTCTATACAAATTAAATGAGTAACTAAGCATTTGAATAAGGGAAAAATTGCAGTGGTACATACTCTATGACAAACATGTACTAACAGTATTGTCAATGTTCCTTGCAATCTTTAACAGGCTTAGCTTCAAAACCTCCTTCCGGTCTCCTCTCAAGTTCATATGGCATGTAAGTACCAAGTATCCTATCCCACGTCACAAAGAAAGGCTGTGAATAGTTATACTTGGTCCCATAAAGCTGGTGATGGATATCATGGTAAGCGGAGTTGTTTTTAAAGAAGATATGGAAGAGATTTCCGGGCAACCATAGTCCGCAATGATCATCAACCGTCTTGATCGTAGCAAATGAGAAAAAGAAGATGGAGGTACGTGGTGACATGCCAGAGACAAGGAAAGCTAGAGCCCCACCGATTGTGTCAAGAATCAGACCCTCCAAAGGGTGGTTGTACAAAGCTCCAAATGCATATGGAACAATTAGCCGGTGATGTTGAGCAAGGATATGTTTGTACAAGAACTTGTTTTGGTGCATGTACCGATGCATAAAATATTGCCAAGTATCTAACATCAACATGGCAACAAATAACTGTCTGCCAAGAACAAAGATTGAAGTGTGTCGATCTCCACCTGATTCACCAAGTAGAGAAAACAAGTATGAAAAGTACAACTCCTCATGGTATATACTTAAGTTACTTATCAGAACATACAAAAGGTGTACAACTTTTAGCTCATTGATCGGAGATAAATCGTATTCGGTATGAGCTAGCCCTCTACTAATTAAACTTATCTACTTTCCTCTCTTACCAAAGTGAAAGGAAACAAAAGCAGTGCATTAATTGAGGTCAGGACTCGAGACCCAACTAATGGACCACCCATAAAGAGAAGTTACCACAAATAAAATAAGTTTTGAGTAGAGATTTTAAGGGGATAGATATGAGTTAGGCTACACTTTGCAACTTAGTTTATAGAAGTGGTTGAAACTAACTTTGCAAATTAGGCTACAGCCTACACACATAGCAACGCAAGCCAAAAGTAAGACAAGACCACATTAATGTTTCCTTTTTATATCTCTTCTTTGCAGGTTAGAGAAACGAATCTATCCCTCAATATATCCATCCAAGTTCACATGTTGCGGTTGAAAAGATCATCTCACAACTTACTTTAGTCTTTCCATAATTCCAAACATATGTGAAGTAGCACGGTAGAAAGCTTTATTGGGAGGTCACAGTTAGGCTTCCTATTCTCAACTATTAAGCTGCCGTCAACTAACTTTGCAAGACAGATGGATACCAAGAAGAAGGTAGACAACGAAATGCAAAAGAAGAGCAATGATTCCTCATTTTCTTTAGTAAAGGCAGATTAAGCCAATAAAAGCTTATTCTTAGGATAGTTTCAACATCCTTGTTGACAGTTTCTATATGAGACGTCTAGTAGTCTCATCCCCAGCATCAGCATCGACAGCCAAGATCAAAACAATGCTGATTGAGCCGCTTTGGCAACCTATTTTCCTAGAAGAACTTCAAAGTCAACCTTTCTTTATAAAATCAAATGACTCAAAACTGAGGTTCAACAGTTCGCATCTGAGTTTTACAGAACTCCTATTTTCCTATCAATCAGAGAATATCTAACCTGCAAGCTTCAGCATTTCATATAAACTTCCTTATCAAAAATATTTCATATGAAGCTATAAGATGTAATTTCTGTTCAGATAACGATCGACTATCACTTTTTAGGATCAAGAGATTTTGAGACACTTCATAACGTAAATTATAATATATAGATATAAAACACTCTGCATAAGTAGCTTTGAGGCTTGTCAAGGCAGGAAAAAAGAAATTTGCACACTTTGTGATTGACCTACACAAGAAGTCATACTTCTTGCTCTTGTACTTCAATTGAATTTCTTTATTCTGTGCATGAAGGATTCATCTAAATGATCGGTAAAACAAGTAAGCTATGGATTAACATCCAAATAAAACATTGTACCATAGTACCTCTGACAAATGGCTCCTTTACCAAAAATGTATATAAATAAATATTAAGAACGTTAAGGACTAAGATAGAACAATTTAGCCATCCATCTATTGGGAAATTCTAGGATCACACACACAAGCATAAAAAAGTTCCTCCCTCAAGTCAATGAAAATAATTCAAAATGTTTGAAATCAGCCTAACAACAAATGATATTCACATTTGAAATCCAACAACATTTGCCTAGCAGTGCCAATTCGGACAAAAGAACTATTATCACACCGCCATCGCATCCAAATATTCCCCTATCCACGACTCACTCCGTGTTGTAATACACAACATGTCAACATCCAATTATGAGTTGCACATACCGTTGACAAAATCATATGACTCACCCCACGTTGTAATACACAACATCCAATTATGAATTGCACATACCGTCAACAAAATCATACACTCGTAAATCAAATAATTTCTAAACCTTAAGCCGTCACCAGACATAAGCATTTCATTCCAATCAAAACAAAACCAAACAAGCATATACATAATAAGTTATCAATATCAACTAAGCCTCAATAGTTAACCAAATAAATCCCATGTATCATTACGGTTCACCAAACAAGCATATACATAATAAGTTATCAATATCAACTAAGCCTCAATAGTTAACCATATAAATCCTCTGTATCATTATGATGCATACAAAGAAGACCAAACAAGCATATGCATAATAAGTTATCAATATCAACTAAGCCTCAATAGTTAACCATATAAATCCTCTGTATCATTATGATTCATTAAAACTAGACCAAACAAACATATGCGTAATAAGTTATCATATCAACATATCCTCAATAGTTAACCATATAAATATCATTATGAGCATAAAAAGAAGATCAAACAAGCATATGCATAATAATACATCAATACCATCTAAGCCTCAATAGTAAACTATATGAATCCAACTCATCATTATGCATAATAACCTCCAAAACAAATAAAAATCAAAACTTTGCAGCAACTAGAGATGATCAAAGTAACTAACCGCAAAGAGAACGGTAGCAACAGCAGCCTGAACAATCTGTTGGAGAAGAACACCTTTAACAACCTCTTTTTTTGACACCAAATTCTTCTCATCCTCATCTTTCTTAGAATGCAACCTATAATTATCCATAGTCCCAAGCATTAAATACAATCCTGAATATACCCAATACACAACTATTGGTAAAAATGTTCCCAAAACTTCATCTGACACATATCCTCCCTTCCCCTGATGATCAATATTCATACTACCCACCATCTCAAAAATACAAAATCCTCACCAAAATATTACCAAGGTCCTTCCTTTATACCTTCTTGAAATTACCCTTAATTGAAAAAACCCAGAAAAGAAACAAAATTGTTCCTTTTTAAATCTTTTTTTGAAAATTACCCTTCAAAAGGAAAGAAAAAAAATCACTATCTTTTTCAAAGTAGCCTTAAAAGGAAAACAAATAAATACCCAATAAAAGAAAAACTGAAATTCTGAAAAAAATTCAAACTTTGTATAAAATTGAAATTAGGGTTTGTAGAGAAAGAGAAGAGTGGAGATATATGGTTTGATTGAAATTCTCTTCCAAATAGAATTGGAAGGAATTTCAAACAGCAAAAAAAATTCAGAAAAAATTTAACAAAAATAATGAATTTTTCAGAGTGGATATTATTGTTTTGCAAAACTGGACTCCTATAATAACGATCATCAAATTAATTTTATTTATTTATAATGGATTTTCTTTGTCGTTGTTATTATCAAATTAATATTAGACCCACGACTTTTCAGCAGTGAAAAAACTTACCTTATTCCGTGATTTAACTAAGTCAATAAATCAACTTCTATGATATTTATTACAGTCAAACTTTATTATAGTGATAATATTCGTTTGAAAACTTCATAGTTGTTAAAAGTAACGTTTTGTTATACATGTAAATTATTATTGATGTTTAAAAAAGACAAACATAAAGGATATTATTGTTTTTGCAAAACTGGACTCCTATAATAACGATCATCAAATTAATTTTATTTATTTATAATGGATTTTCTTTGTCGTTGTTATTATCAAATTAATATTAGACCCACGACTTTTCAGCAGTGAAAAAACTTACCTTATTCCGTGATTTAACTAAGTCAATAAATCAACTTCTATGATATTTATTACAGTCAAACTTTATTATAGTGATAATATTCGTTTGAAAACTTCATAGTTGTTAAAAGTAACGTTTTGTTATACATGTAAATTATTATTGATGTTTAAAAAAGACAAACATAACAAATTTTTTTCTCATGAAATTATTACCATAAGTCCATAATTGAAGGACACCAATTATATGTATTATGTGTATGACATTAATGTAGTTATTACCATAGTTAGAATTAGCTAAAGTGAAGGGCTCTACATTAAAGGATCATTAAGTTTTATTTTTGGAATTATGTATACGTAAAAAAAAATATCTTGATTAATTATGATCAGACGATAAATAAAAAATATCATGTATTTGTTGATTTTAATAAAAACTGGCAAAATTTCTTCTTATGGAAATATTGTCTTCATTTTAAAAGAAATAGTATTTCTCGTTTGAACACACTTGTTTTTAAAAAAATCTAAGAAATAAAAAAGAATTTACTATTTTATTTTAATCAAGTGCCTTAAACAAAGAATAATAATTATTAAACATTAGTATTAATTTTTAAACTAATGGAGCAGCATGTGCTGTCACTGATGGTTGATATTTTCTATGGAAGGTTGACATGTCAGACAACATAATAAATACAAATCGAAGTATCCTAAGTAAGTATATTTCAGAGGTTGTTCATATGGTAAATATTTTTTAGTTTTAAAATAAAAATTATAAAAGTGAAACTTTTAAGTAGGGCTAAAAAAATAAATTCTTTTTGTATTTTACTTTTAGTAGTATATCAACATTTCAATTATGTAATGATGACACATAGTAAGATTATATTATATTTTAAGATATAAATTAAAATAAAATAACTAAAATTCCTCAAATTAAAAAAATAAAGGAAATAATTGTTTATTCTTTTTTTTATGGGTGTGGGTTCATCGTGGCTTATGAATTTTATTATATAACTTTGTTAAATTTAGGGTCATCCAAATTTGACTTTGGATTTTTGGCTCTATTTGGTCCAAAATACTTCGCCAGTTGGCATTTTTCTCCAATGAGCCGCCAACAAGATTATTATCTACCCACTGTTTATACGTTATCCAAAAAGCTTGATTTTCTAAAAAAAAAAACTTTGCAATTTACGGATAGTGTAGTATTTTATTTATCGGTATGATATTATTGGCTATAAAAAGTTTTAAAATTATCTCTGAAGCATGCAGTAAAAAATTACTCGCTCAGTCCATCTTTACTTGTTATGAAACATGCAATAGTAAATATTTATTACAAGCTCGTTGAGTTTTCATCATCAGAAGAAGAAAATAGAGAGATCATTGTTTTCCCAAATGGCATTGCTTAACATGAATTAGTCAGTCATAAATTAAAAAAATCAAACTTTACACCTTGAAATTGACGTTGCGTTGTGGAATTTTTGTATTCTAAATGTTGATATTCTTCTTTCAAATACAAGGGTCTCCAATTATGGAAGCATCCTATTCTATTTACCCTTCCAAAACAAAGTCTCCAATTGTGGATACATCATTTTCTTTTTTGACCATTTCATCAAGACTAAAATATGGGTGACTAATTTTGGATAGGGACACATGCTAGTTATTGTGTAACATAGACTATAAATATATAAATAAGATAAATGAGATAAATACTGTAGAATAATAGGTTCACAACATACACAAAATTGAGCTATCATAACCATGTGATTTGATAATTTAACAAGAATAATCTATATCTGTACAGACAACCTTGCTGTTAAGAAGGATCAATCCAAATAAACATTAATTTTAGTGGCTTACCACTATTTCTTCTTTTTTAAAGGTAAACTATGGTATCAAGAAACCAAAAGGAAGTTTCTTCCCAATCATGATGTCCACTGTTTGAAAAAATCAACTAAAATTTGTCTAATTGAAAAGGACAATGGAGAATTATGTAGCTTGGACTTTAGTTTCAGGAACTTTCTTCATGAAGTCCAGCCGGGCTTGTTTGGTTTGTTTAGGAGCTACAAGAATAAACAGACAATTCCCATCAGCACATAAGCTAATGTAACTACTAAATGTTCTGGGAACTCTTATGTATGGATGAAGTATTCGTTTATTTTACCTTTTTGGCTGCTTTGGTTTTTTGATGCAAGGACAGTAGATTTCCATTCCTCATAAGCATGTTCATCCATGCGTTTACGCTTCTTGTAAGCTGATGACTGCATAATAGAAGGTTCTAAAAATCAGCAAGAAACAACACAAACTGAGATGTAACTTGTAAGAACTTTAATTGAGTATATAACTCCAGCACAAAGATTTGTAGAGATCATAACTTGCATTCAATGATGGTTTACTTTAAGGATAAGCCAGTAACCAGTCAACTTCATGGTATCTTTTCTAATCTAGGGGTTAAAATAAACATCAATGTGGCATGCCATATGTTCTATGCTTAACATATGCACAGCCAGGTGTTTAATCTGAGTTGAGAGCTTCTGTGTTCCTTATTTATGTTAATTAGTGTTAT